GAGGATAGACCCTATTATCCAAGGGTTTCTCTTCAAGGAGAGAATAGTGAGGCTTGGAGTAGCTCATCAGAAGTTCCTTTACCAATCCCACTAAGTGAAGAAGGGTGTAATGGGGAAGGTTGTCAAAGGTGTAGGGATGTGAGAGTCTGTCACAGACGATGGAGACAGGTTGATTTCGGACATCAGCAGTGCAGGCCAGTCCCAGTCCCCTCTACAGATCCAGATCCCGGTACCACAGTAGCCCCAGTTCCTTCTGCAGATCCAGTTCTAGGTACCACAGATGCTACAAATGAGAGACATCCCACCATGGAGCCTTCACCTTAATTAAATGATCTTGACCTTCCCATAGAAGTTCGTAAGGGCAAGCGCCATTGCACCACATCCATAGCTCACAACATTTCTTAGTTCTTGTCCTATGATCATTTGTCTCCCTCCTATAAGTTTTTTCTCGCATCCATTACTGATATTCCCATTCCCAGAACAATACAAGAAACATTGGAAGTACCAGAATGGAAAAATGCAATAAAAGTAGAAATGGATGCCCTCATCAGAAACAATACTTGGGAGATAGTTGATCAGCCTAAAGGAAAGAAACCGGTTGGATGTAGATGGGTATTCACTGTGAAACAGAATGCTGATGGTTCTGTTGAAAGGTATAAGGCCCGGTTAGTTGCAAAAGGATTTACTCAGACATATGGTATTGACTACTTAGAAACTTTTGCACCAGTAGCAAAGATGACCACTTTCAGAGTCCTATTATCTCTTGCAACTAGTTACTCTTGGCCATTGTATCGGATGGATGTTAAAAACGCCTTTCTCAATGGAGACTTGCAGGAATAAGTTTACATGCAGTTGCCTCTTGGATTTTATGGTACGGAGACAGGAAAAAAGGTTTGCCGGTTGAACAAGGCTTTATATGGACTAGAACAGTCCCCCAGAGCTTGGTTTGACAGATTCAAAACAAGCCCTTGATAGGTTCGGATATGTGTAGGCCCAGTTAGACCACACCTTGTTTATTAAGAGAGTGGGTTCTTCCATAACTTTGCTTGCTGTGTATGTGGACGATATTGTAGTAACAGGGAGTGATACTAGTGAAATTGAGTCTCTTAAGAAACTTCTTCATCAAGAGTTTGAGGTTAAAGATCTGGGGGAACTATGATACTTCTTGGGCATTAAGGTAGCTAGATCCAAGCATGGGATTTTTGTCTCTCAACGAAAGTATATCCTTGATCTGCTAGAAGAAACAGGAAAGTTAGGAGTTAAGCCTGCGAACACACCTATTGAACAGAACCACAAGATTAGTGCAGAGGGTGGAGAGCCTCTTGAAGATAAAGCTATGTTCCTACGAAAGTATATCCTTGATCCAAGCATGGGATTTTTGTCTCTCAACGAAAGTATATCCTTGATCTGCTAGAAGAAACAGGAAAGTTAGGAGTTAAGCCTGCGGACACATCTATTGAACAGAACCACATGATTAGTGCAGAGGGTGGAGAGCCTCTTGAAGATAAAGCTATGTTCCAACGGTTAGTCGGAAAACTTTTCTATCTTTGCCTCATACCACCTGACATCAGTTATGCAGTCAGTGTAGTAAGTCAGTATATGCACTCTCCTAGAACTATTCACCTCCTTGCGGTTGAGAGGATATTAGCATATTTGAAGAGGTCCCCAAGGAGAGGCATTTTGTTCAAGAAAAATGACCACATGAAGATAGAAGTCTACACAGATGCTGATTGGGCTGGGTGTGTTGATGATCGAAAATCTACCTCTGGATATTGTGCCTTTGTAGGAGGTAATCTGGTCTCTTCGAAGAGTAAGAAACAAAGTGTTGTCTCTCGTTCCAGTGCTGAAGCTGAATATAGGTCCATGGCAAATGGTGTGGCCGAGATTCTATGGTTAAGATCATTACTTGAGGAATTGGGTATTGTTTATGAGAAACCTCTAATGTTGTACTGTGATAATTAGGCTGCCATTAATATAGCCCATAATCCAGTACAACTTGACAGAACTAAGCATATTGAAGTGGACCGGCATTTTATTAGAGAAAGGGTTACATCTCAAGAAGTATGCCTCCCCTACATCACCTCTGACATGCAACTTGCAGACCTTCTCACCAAGGCTGTTTCAAGAAAGAAGTTAGAAGAAGACCTATGCAAGTTGGGAATAACAAACATCTACTCCCAACTTGAGGGGGAGTGTAGGAAATTGTGGACCCCACATTAGTGTACTCGTGTGACAGCCTGAGTTGTACTTAGATTTAATTAAGTCATTGATTGGATCAGCTTTYCTAGTAGGATTAGTTTTAATCTTATTCTATCTTCTCTAGGATTAGTTTTTAATTATCTTATCTTGCCATGTAAGCATTATAGTTCTTTTACAATTAGGAAACTATATATATAAATTCAAAAGGGTGGGGCGGCTGTTTCATCACACCAACCACTCTCTTCTCACAAAAGTCCTTCCACAAGTTCTACCTCTCCATCTCTCTTCTTCTCTTCTCCTCTTCTCTTCCTTTCTTTTATTTTCTGTTCAAAATCTAAAGAATATCTGTAGTCTTGTACGACTACTGTCTCTCATGATTTTCCTCTTGGGTTTTGGTTAGCTTCTTGCTTTGGTTAGCATTTTCCCACCAAACTAACAGGCTTGAAATCCTCATGGGATCACTGTTTTATGGGACCCATGATTAGAATTAACTTTACTGTTTTCATTATTTTTTTATGGTTTTTGCATTTAAGTTTTATTATTCATTTAGTTTTGCCATATGGATATGGTTTTTATATGGGACCTTGTTCTAATGAGACAGTCATTGATGAATTTTGAGTCCCTAGTATCTTTTTATTCTATGTATGTGGAACCATGGTTCCCAATATCAGTGATATTTGGCAAAATTTACCCTAAATACCCCCATTTTGCTATATGAAAATTTCCAGGAATCATTTTTCCCTAATATCTTTGAAATTTTGTTGATATGTTAATGGCATTTCAGATTTCATTGATAAGACTATATATTTAAGGTTTAAAGTTTTGGAATATTATTAATTTTTTGATATTCCACTAAAACCATCATAATTTGGGGAATTTGTGATTGGATCATTGATTTACTATTTTGATATGATTCGCTTACTAAGTCATTATAATTCAAAAGAACAAGAAAAATGGAGATATGGGAAGAAAGAGATTCACGAATTTTTTTCAGATCAAGGAAAGAACCACAGAAAACCTAATAGATTTGATACTTTCAAGGGTTGCTCATTGGCTGAAATCAATGGAGATATTCTCTGAATTCTCTATGGCAGACTTGCTGAGAAAGTGGAAAGAGGTTGCTACTTTTGCTATGTATAAAAGGAACTGTAGTCCCACTTGGACCCCCCCCTCCCGCCGGATTCATAAAACTGAATTTTGATGGATGTAGCTTAAGGAATCTGGGGCCTTCTGGGATAGGGTGTGTTTTCAGGAATGAGGAGGGGTATATTACTGCCATGTTCTTTGGGCCAATTGGAGAGGATGATTCTCTTAGGGCCAAAATTCTAGCAGTTCTTGAAGGAATCCAAAGAGCAAGAGAATTAAGCATCAGATGCTTAGTGATTGAGGGGGACTCAGAGGTGGTGATTGGGTAGCTGAAAGGAGATATCAGTGGCTTGTGGAGCTACAGCAATGAGAAGAAAAAACTTAATTGGCTGTGTAAGGACTTAGAGGTGTAATAAAGCTGGGTGAAGAGAAGTGCTAACTCAATGGCTGATGGTTTAGCTAAGCAAGGGGTGGCTAAGGATTCTTTGTTTTGGGCACATTTTTAGTATTTTTTTGTCATTTTGATGTTGTGGAGTTAGATAGTTTACCTCCCCATTTTCTGTAATTAATTTTCACAAGTATTATTCATTAATAAAGATTTCTGTTATTGATAAAAAAAAAGAACAAGAAAAATGCATATAACTACAAAAGAGTAATCTCAATCTAATCGAACATATAATAACATAAAAGACAAAAGTCAAAATGGCAAGTAAGTTACATATTTAATGAAGACTTGAAGAGAAGATGGCTAAAAGACTAAAAGGGAGACAAAGAGAGAGATACCTGTTAAAGTCTCTTACTTTTCTTCTATTTGATTTATTTAGTTCTTTGCTATGGTTTTTTGAGCCTTAAATTTGCAATTATACTTCTAATAATTCCTTGGAGGTCTATTAACCAATTGCATGTTTCTAGAAAACTTTCTTGATTTTTTAGATTTTTCAAATATCTTAGCGAAACTAATGAAATATCTCTGAAATTTCTCTATACCTACATGGCGTCATCGATATCAAAATTGTGAATCATGCGTGGGACCAAAAACACCTGGATTTAAGCACCACAATGCAACAACATCCATTGTGTGTATTTATCCATTTTTTCTTATGTATGTTTATGAATCATAAGTTTAGCCAATATATAGAGTCATGAATCAAGATCTACTTAGTGAAAGATGGAAATGCCTCAAGACTATGTGGAGCCAAACTGCCTCACCTCTAATTGAAGTCWAAGGCTTAGGTTTTAGGTTTCACACCTCAGGAGGCCTTTATCTTTTGCCACATCCCCCAATTTTTACCTGGCTTATTGCTAAATTGGGGACTTGATTTGAAGAGTTTCTACTTCTTCAGGCTTAGGCTCTTTGGTAGGGTGTTTTAAAATTTAAAATATGTTCAATTCAGGCCTGCCCAAGTTTCTCGCATAAAACTCATGCTCCTATGTTTAATGAAGATCCTTAAAGTTATCTATTTATTTATGTTTTACATGCCAATTTTAATTCTTTTGTTGTTGGGAGCTTGGGATCTAGGTATTGATAGAGTTTGTTGTTGTAAGTTTTTTGTATGTGTGTGGGGTATGCATAGTCTAATTTTAGATTATCCACTTTTAGGCATTTAATTTGCCTTTATTTATTTTCATTTTTTGGAGTTGAATTAAAAATTTGGAACTTACAATTCTGTTTACTTTGTTGATAATCATGCACAACCACCATGCACAACCACCAGTTGGCATATGTAGTAATATAAAAACTAAAAGTTCTAGAACTGATGCACAAAGAGAAAGACGAAGACTGTTACAACGTATACGTCGTCAAAAATTGACTGATGAGGAAAGAAGAAATTTACTTGAGCGGAGACGCGAAAAGAAATTAAATGAGCAGCAGAGAGAAAGCCATCGAATAAGAAATAGATTGAGATATCAATCTCTGACAGATGAACAAAGAAAGCGTATAAATGAGGCTAGGAGGAGGAGGAGACATGCCCTAACGGCTGAAAAATCTCTACCTAGCAAAGGTAATTCTTTTTGTTTGTATTATCTTTCTTGTAAATATTGTATACTAACATCTCTAATTTAGCAATATTTATGAATGGATCAAATTTAAACAAATGAAGAGGACCATAACTCTTTAACTTCATAAATGCAAGAGATTTCTGATCGAACATAATTGGAACCATCTCCACCAAATGATTGGATCTTTTCTGTTATTTTTTACTTTTTTTATGTGAATAAATCTATTAATACTTAAGACATATATAGGCGAAATACAAATTTTGCTAACCGAAGGAAGAATGCGCTTAACTGAATTACGTCGTTACGCTCGGTGTACAACTCATCCCCCAATACAATCTATAACTATGGAAAATTGTATTGGGGATCAACATCTTGGACAAGAAGTAGGTATTAAAAATGGTGGTATATCTTCACAGATAGAAGGGATGGTTGGAGGTAAGGTACGCTCTTAGCTAGTTTATCTTATCTATGATATTTTTCTACTTAGGATACTACTAATTTTACTTTTTCTTTTGTAGAAAATGTTAATGCTATTAATGCAGCGAACAACATTGGAGATGAGATTCAAACATGTGCATCATGATGGAAAGATCTTCATGGTTCATTAAGAGGATATTTTGATTCAATTTCTCGCAGGCTTTTAGTTAAGGTTCTAACCCTCAATGAGAGCATTAATTTGATCAATTAAGAAATTGCTTGGTAGATTGTAAATTGCATAATCTTTTTATATGGTAAACAATGTAAATTGCATAAGTTGAAAAAGGGTGTCTGTTGCTGCAGCTTTGGTTTTTTTGTTTTAGTTGGGGGGTTTATTCTTTATGTATTCTTTTTAATCGTTAGTCTGATCAATTGACCGATTTGATGAGATATTGATGTCTATACTCTATAGTCGAAGCTGGGCATTCTGGCCAATCTTGATCTCTCTATATAAATAGACAACATTTGCATATAGTTTGGTAATTTTATGGGTGCATACTGATGAATCACTCATTAACCCCACCGCGAAGAGGGAGAGAGAGTAGTGTGGTGGGCCAGTTTGGATTTCTAAGAAAAACCGGTGTTTTCAGCTGGAGTACTCGGATGGTTGGATTAATGACATGGTCATAATCCTGGTTCTGACTTGCCGTTAGGGCTGCAATTGATATCCATTTACCTGAGTTTGAATCCGTTTAAGAGAGATTCAAATTTCATCAGTTTGAAATTAGATCGAATCTGGATCCAATGCGTTATTTTTAACCTGTCATTGACGCAGTTGGTGGGATGAATCCATAGCGTTATTTTAAACCTGTCATTGATCCAGTTGGTTGGATAGGTGATCCATTGATTCCATTCACAATTATAATTCGGGCTTTATCTTTCATTGATCCATTTGGTCGGGTAGATGATCCATTAACAATTCCAATTCCGTCTTTCTTAAACCTAAAGAAATCATTGACTTGATCAAAGATTTTGACCTTGATGGAAGGACCATCAATCCGATTGACCCATTCATCACAGGTTGACACGTTGACCCAGATGGCCGAATTACTTACCAGAGGGAAAAAGGGATTCAATGTCCGGGTCGGGTTTTCTAATTTGAGACAAAATTAGCGTTCTCCTGGAACCGGGTCAAACGGTCGGATCTCCCGAGACGGCGATTGGTTGAGATTCTTGAGAAACTGGAAACGTCAGTTGATCAGTGCGCTTTTCCAAATCCTGTACCTGCGCGCAATCAGATGGAAAGTCTAATGAACACTTTCTTCTTCCTCTGTATCGATGAAAACACTTCTATCAGTCGTTTCTTAATGCTCATCTTAGATTCCATTTTAAACGAGCAATAGACGAAAGAACACGTTATGTAGATGCTGTGAGAGAGATAAAGAAAGAGAATTACATGCCATTATCATCTTACTATATCCTCTTTCATCCGCGTTGGTTTTCTGTACCCTAATTCTTCTAGTTCGTTATTCCTTCTGACCGTGATTGCGTTTATCATCGTCCCCATGGAATTTTCTGCAATTAGGGTTTGTCTGGCAGAGCTAGCCCGAGTTTCATGACCCTCTCCATTCCCAAGCCCTAGAATTTTCCGGCGATGGAGGGCTCTGTGGAGGATTTCGGGGCAGCTGATTCATGTGAAATTGCGGATCGAGAAGAAAGCATCTACAGGTTGATGATCTCCTTCCAGGAGAATTCGACGACGGCACCACCTGTGGAGTTCGCCGATGATTCTGCAGTACCTCCTTTTCCTACTTCTACTGCTTCTTCCGTCTCGTCGTTTTCTGCTTCTGCTTCTTCTTCTTCTTCGTCTGTTGGGTCTGAGAAGATTCGAGAGGTTTCTGACAATGTTATCAATCAGGATGATCAGTTCCTCAAGGAAGCTATGCAGATTCCTGGAGAGCAGCTATCGGGTAAGTCTTCTGTCTATTATCTGATTTTTAGGGTTAAGCCCCAGTCATTGTTTAAGAACCTTCTTGATTTTGTTTGTTTCCTGTTCTATATAAGGATTGGGAATCTGGGATTTATACGATGTAACATGTATGATTCCTGTTGCTGCCTAGGATGGGCTAGGGGCAACATTGTCAATTCGCTTCCTAGCCGAGGTGTGGCCAAGTAGTCCGAGGCTTGGGTTGGCTGAGTGGTGGTAGGTCCGTCTTGCGAGGAGCAAATGAGAGAGAACGTCAAAGGCCTCGGGTGAAGATCTGAGGCAGAGACTCCCATAGTCAAGTTAGTTCGAGTGCAATACAAGGTGGATGAGGCCTGAGGTGGGAACACTCAAACGAGGCCACAAGGAAATTGGAGAGTTCTCATAGTTCTTGGGTCTAGATTCCAGGTGTTTACCTTGAGGGGGTTGCCCCCTATTTATGCTTGAGGCCGCTAGGAGGTAGGTGGGCTCGGACGGTCAGGATGTTGTCCTTTCTTAGGAAGCACATCCATCTGAGGCCGCCGCGTGCGGTTGCACCATTGGCTCCGAGTCGCGTGACGACCTCTGCTTTGTGCGCCCTTATTGGATCCGTTCTGAGCGCCGCTGCCTGCCACATGCGCCTGCTACTAGTTAGGGTAAGGTGTGCTTACATCATTTGCCCCTCTCCCGAGGCCATGGAGGGGGTCCGATCTATGGACCTCGGACGTCGTTGGGCCTTCTTGATGAGGGCTTTGGCTTCACCTAAGGAGAATATCTTGCCTTCAATGGGGAGCGCCGGGAAGCTTCCTATATCGAAGGCCTCGGCTTGTTGGAGATGGACTTGGTGCTGCCTTCAAGTGTCCTTCGCTTCCCAGAGCCTTTGCTTCCAAGAGACCTCGGCATTCCTTTTTTCCTTAAAGCCTTCTAGACCTTGTCTTCTCTAGGTAAAAGTTTCTCTGCCACAATGTCTTGCTCAGACTCCGACCCTAAGTGTTACGAGCTCCCAGACCTTTCAGGGGCTAGTTCCTACCGGTCCCCATCACTAGCTAGTGACAATGGAGGCTTCTCGAGAGTCGAGGTCCCTACGCCGAGGCCCGAGGTCGAGGTGTTGAGTTAGAGGGTTGCCTCCGTAGGTGCCGAGAGCAGCCGAAGGGGCGATGAATCTCCTCATGAGAGTGTTGGATCAACGAGGCCACCAGAGGACGAGGGATCCCCTAGTGTTTTAAAAGTGAAAGGCGCAAGGCGAGGCGTGTGCCTTTTTGAGGTAAGGCGCACAATTTAAAAAAAAGCTAAAAAATAAAAAAAGTCAAAAAATTCAAAAAATGCCAAAAAATTCAAAATAAAAAAATTATAAAACATAATATTAATAAAAATATAAACTTAAAATTTAAAATAAATGTTTTAAAAAACCTATTATCTAAAATTAAAATACATAAACATAATATGTAAAGCATATTCAGATGAGAATTTAAAAATGAAATCAAACATATAAAACATTTTCAAGCATATAAAACCCATAATCTCTTTTTTCTCAATTAGATCAAGTAGCTAATGTGACATATTGCATTCCTAATTCTACGAGCCACCTTTGTGCCACACCCCTCGAGACAAGCTCGAACAAGTCCATGTTAGAGTCTTAAGTTCTGAGTTTTCACACAAAAAATAATGATTTTATAGTTTTAATTGCTTTTAAGAAGATATTTTATTAGGATGAATGAATGGACAACATTACCAAATAGGGGGTTCTCGAGGGGCGTGGCACRGGGGTCCGGGATAGCCGCTAGACTCAAAAAAAAGGAAAAGCGTCAAATTTTTAAAAGGCGCACACCTGGGCTAAGGCGCAAGACGCACTAGGCGCATGCTTGGGCTAAGGCGCAAGACACACTAGGCKCATGCCTGGGCTAAGGTGCAAGATGCACTAGGCGCACCAGGCGTGCGCCTTTTGAATGGGTCGCGCCTAGGACCTGGGCAAGGCGCCTACCCTAAAATGCGCCTCACCTGTGCGCCTAGGCGTGCCTTTTAAATCACTGGGATCCCCTGCGGTGGTTGGAGGGGAGGAAGTCCCTAAGCCTAGCCTGAGGACGGTGGTTGAATATGCTGCCCGAGGGGTGACGATCGATTGTCTCCCTCACTCGGAGTTAGATAATACCCTTGACTTCGAGCAGGTGTAGACCTTGGGTAGGAAGTACTACATACCTCGATCTTACAGGCTTAGGGTCCTTGACATCGGTGATCGGCCGTGAACGCTGGAGGAGGGGGAGATCTGTGTTTACCAGCACTTCTTGGAGTTTGGCCTTAGATTTCCCCTCCATCCTCTCATCCCTGAGCTGTTGAGGTGGTACGACATATCAATTAGCCAATTAGCCCCCAATGCCCTTAGGACTATCCTTGCCATGCTGGTGGTGTCTCGGCTTCGGGACGTGGAGTTGACCCAAAAGATCTTCCGTGCCATGTTCGTGCCGAGGCCACATCCTATTGAGGCGGGTATATACTACTTTCAACCTCGGAGAGGCCGGCCTGTAGACAACCCTTCGTTTGTACACAACTGGAAGAGCAAGTTCTTCGTTTCTTGTCCCGAGGGTTGGCCGTTTAGGTCGGCCTGGGGGAGATGCACTTAACTGTCGAGAAGTCCAAGCCTTTACTTTGGGACGATGAAGTCGATGTGATGACCCACATTCTCGTGTTGGGGACGATTCGACCCAAGCCCCTAGTGGAGGAGAAGCTCCCTTTAGTTTTCGTTGGGCTCAACCCTGCATGCCTCGGTAGGAGTCCTGCTGTCGGCTTTTAACATGTCGGTCTTTCACTTTTTCTTGAAGGTATTGACTCTCATATTGCCTTCTTGTAGAGATGTCGATTGACGCAAAGAGGTTGCTGCTAGATAGGGCCCAAACCAAGAAGAAAGCACTGAGTGAGGGTCAGTCGGGTAGGCAGACACTGAGAGGGGCTGCTCCTGCCGAGAGGATGCCCTGGCCTTATGCTCCAACTGGCGCGGGGGCCAACCGAGGTAAGAGGCCAGGCGAAGGGAGCCGACAACATGAAACTGGCCAGAAGAGGCCAGCTGATGCACCTCAACCTCCTCTAGGAAAGAGGTTGGCGCACAAGGACCACCCAGTCAAGGGTAGTTTGCGATGGAGAGAGGCCGTTGTTGTGCCGAGGGGGCTTCCGACCAAAGGGCCCGCGGCGAGGCCTTCTTTTGCTCCCCCTTCTTCCTTAGGGCCACTAGAAGAAGGGGAGTTGGTTACACGGCGAATGTTTCGCCCCAGTGGCCCGTCCGAGAGGGGGATTCCCCTGATACCGTGAGGGTCAGGAGAGCACTAATTAAGGGAGTGATCCCTCAGGGGGATCGACTGGCCATGATGAATGGGGGCCCCCTCAAACTCTGGGACCACGGCTTCGACCATTTGGTCGAGGTATGCTCTTCTTCTATCATCGCTCCTTTTGTGTGTTGTCTTTCTTTTTGGCTTTATCTTGCTGATGGGGGTATTTCTACTGYAGGTCTGTCGGTACTACGTCGTCTTGGGTGACCAAGTCGGGCTCCTCCGTGATCGTTTAAAGAAAGTCGAGGAGAAGAATGAGTAGCTCGCGGTGCGGGTCGCCGAGGCCGAGAGTAGTTGGGACACCGCCGTCTCGGTTGCAAACGACGGGAGGGAGGTCTGGAAGATGTTGGACGAGGACCTCAAGGCAGAAAAGGCCTGGACTACCGAGCTTCAGGAGGCCTTGAAAAAATCATAGCTCGAGTGCGTTCGCCTTGACGAGGCCTTGATGGCGGCTTAGGCGAGGGGAACGGAGGCTGAGTAGGAGGTGAAGGATGCCGTCACCATCTAGAAGATGCTGGAGGAGTACTAGCGTTGTCTTGCTGACTACGAGGCCGACTCCTATCTATGGAGAGAATCGAGGACACCAAGCTCGAAGTGCTGAGGCTGATGCCCAACTTCCCAGTGGACGAGTTGAAGGTTCCCTCAAATGTTGAAACTCTTTCTCCTGAGGGCCCCATTGCTCCTACTATCGAGGTCCTTGTTGCTCCTGCAGCCGCCGAGGACTCTACTACTTTTGCTGCCGAGGGTGGTGCATAGGCAGCTCTTTTGTTCTTTTTGTTGTCTCTTTCTTATAGTTTTGTTTATCTTTTTTGTAAAGGGCCGAACCTCCCCATCCGAGGCCTTATTTTTGTAAGATCTGAAAGAGAACACTTACTGAATTATACTTTTTGCATATCTTGTGCCTTTGTTGCTTCTCTCTCTTTCTCTTTCTCTCTTTTGTATATGAGGGTCTATGCCCCCTTCCAGGAGGTCACAAGTAGCAAAAGGTCATCATCCGAGGTGGCTTGCCATTTAGTTGCTTGCCTAGGAAGTTGACTTTAAGGAGATCGGCCGAGGTCAGGCTAAGGCGTCGAGGTGATCGGGGCCCCTTACCTCTTTGGGAGGAAAGGGAGGTGAAGTCCTTAGCTCTCTTGGTTTGCTTTTCACCTTCATAAGGTGCTGGCTAGAGGAGATCGGGGGGAGCGGCCAAGGTGTCGGGGCTGCTTCCCTCCTGAGCTTTGCCTCGCTAATTAATTAAGCACAGGGTTGTGCTTAGTATTCATGGCTGTTTTGTCTCTGGTTGGGATGTTGGGGTATCTCATCGGGCTACCTAAACAACACTGTGGAAGGCAATACGTGGTGTCCTCCCCAAGTTCCTTCAATTTGTAAGGTATGATACTTGCTCTAGAAATTTGGTTCTTTTTTGGGAAGACACTTGGGTGGGTAATCAACCTCTAAAAGACCTATTTCCTTCTTTGTATGCCCTTTCCCTTTATAAAAAGGAGGTTATCTCTGTCTTTCTTCCCCCTCCAGTTTTACCTTTATCCTTGAACTAGGACTTTGGTTTTCGTAGGGGCTTAAGGGAGGAGGAGCTTGCTTGTGTTACTAAACTTCTATCCATTCTAGAGAGTGTTTGCTTGGACCCCTCTTCTCCTGATAAAAGGGTGTGGACTCCTAGCCCAAGAGGTTCTTTCACTTGTGCATCCTTCTT